TACAGATCTAAGATGGGAAGAAACCTTAAACTGGCTCTGTTTGGAACCAAAATCAGCTGGCCCTTTTGACTGAGAGTTGTTTTGAACCCCAAAACCATAAGGATTGGACTTTCTCTGTTGGTCTGAGCCAGATTGTGACCCAAATCCAAAGATGTTGGACTTTTGCTGTTGCTGAATCACATGGAGAAATTTACACCTATCTCCGAACTGACAGCTGAAAGAGGCAAGGTAAACTATTAAATATAACAAACATAGTATCATGCAAAAAGCACAAAATAAGCACATCTTATACTTTGGTCAAATACACAGCTAGTGCTTGAGTGAACTACACGATGAAACAAAAGTAGAGGCAAAATTGGAGGATAAGTACACACAAAAGCATGGGCATGAAAGAACTTTGAATAGATGAGAATACGCATTAGAACAGCATGTGACATCTTTTAGCAGAGTCCCACATCGTCTGGATACCTTTAGAATGTGCACTATCTAAACAGATAAGCCACCTTACCTTGTAAGCCAGGTTTCATGGATGAAGTTCTACCAAAGGGAAAAACATATGGTATAATGAATTGGGTTCGCATCTCCAGACCAGAGTGGAGGGGTAGAGCCAAGTGTCTCCGGTCCTGGTGCTAAGAAAGAGTGTTAACATACTCCCGCATTTGTCTTACCACCTTCAGTTCGTATAGCACATAGATGCAAGGGCACCTTTCCTTGTAAGCCAGTTTTGATGGATAAGTTCTGCCCTGAGTTTGGCACAGGTGAATCAAGGCTGGGAATGCCGTTCCCATCCCCATCCCCGTTAAGTTATTTTCCCCCGTCCCCACCTCCATATTGGTAATATTCAGAATGGGGATTTCCCATCCCCACCTTGATTGGGGAACATATTCCCCACCCCGCCCCATTACAAAAATACCAATTAAAAAATGATTTTGAATGAGAAGAAACAAAGTTAGAAACTGTTATACTAGGGCAAAAGACAATACACAAGTTTTGTTTTAGATTTAGATTTTTTATGTATTATTTAATTCAATGTAGGATATAATATGTGGAATGTAAAATTTGTCAGAGTTATGAAACACAACTAGAAGCCACTTAACAATATGAAAAACAAATGTAATATATATATATGAATATATTCTACATGGAGCGAGTTTGGGTTGGGGATTAGAATCTCATTCCCGCCGCGCCCCATACACCCTACCCGAAAATTTCCACAAACTCATCCCCATACCTGATTTCTATCCTTCATACCCGACCCATTTAGGTCGAAGCCCCACAAAGACCCTAACCCGTGAGGAAAGTTTCCCTCCCTACCAACTTCAACATCACAACATCATAAGTCAACAAATTCTTATTTCAATAATTGATAGAAGATATCAACTTATCACAGAAAGTTAAACATGGGATAGCCCGGTGAATATGAACAAAGCAATACCTAAGGGGAAGCATGAGGTCCTCATAAAAAGGAAAACTAGTAGAAAATGAGTAAGAAAAAGCAAAGAAACAAAAAAGGAGCTAGCGATTGGAGAGCGGGCATGGGTAACGCACTAGCTACTCATTTACTCTTTTACCTCCCGAATCAGGTTCAAGATTCATCAACCTAGTATACTCTGTCTGTTCATCAGTGACAGGATCAACGCCCCTTCCAATCAACTCTTTCGACTTCCAGTTTGAACTTTCCAAAAGCCAATCAAGTCAATATAACTCTTCTGTATTATGTGCTCCAACCAGTCAAGGACTTAATGGAATTGAACCTGTTGTTGTGTTGCAGCCTTCGGTCATGTTCACCAAATCGGGCAGCTATCATGACTCAAACACCTATCTTATGATATTCTATTTTTCCAACCAGGGACATGACCAAATCACACTTTTGTGCCCAACGTCTTGGTAGGCCCACTCTAACTCCATAGGCTTCGAGGCAGTTTTTGCTTGCCTACCACCTAAAATTTCCATTATTTAAAGATTTGAAACTATGATACAATGTTCAGTATCCATCCTAGAGGTTGCCCATTGTGTATGGACTCTAGCCCAGTTGCGTGGTGAAAGCTAATCTTATACCACATATCACCACTCATGGTTAGATAAGATTGGTCCCAAAAGCCAGCTTGTAAGGGAGGGATACCAAAGAGTTTATAAACTATCCATCTTAAGATATTCAATGTGGGACATTTGGGACATACAGCCATCTTATCATTCATAATGTTAGATTTATACATGTACCAAGTCATAAAAGTAGGCCTACGATTGCAAAGCATGTAGAAACTGATTGCTAAAAATAAGAGATTAAAGAGTAGACCATGAACACGGTGAAAGCAAGGAATAAGTCAGATAGAGAGCGAGAGAGATGACCTGCCACGCTGAAAGTATTTGCAGGGTTCTCTCTTTACAGGCATCCCTGCAACTGCAACAGTCCCCAAGTGCCAGTCTCCTCAGGAACCAACTCCAATTGACTCAAGGACGTTTCGCCCAGAACCAGAACCGCAATTCATAAACCCCTAATCAAGTTGGTTGGTATGCCTGCCTGCCTTCAATGTTCCAACAACAACAAAATTACTACTATTTAAACGCCTTTGTCTATCTCTATTCTCTATATAGAAGAATAAAATAATAATGAAAAATAAACAGAACCCCGCAAAACAACAATTTTTTAGTGTTGGGCCTTTGGCATTCAATTGGGCCTTTGTAGGCCGATTGAAGTTAATGAGCCGCTAAACCCAAACACAAATTGATTGATAGCTAGGGTTTCGTTTTGTTCACGTACAGTACACATAACAGCGGAAATGCCATAAGAGGGGGGGGGGTGTTTTAACAAAGGAGGAGAGCGAGAGTTTATGGAAAAAATAAGTGAATCCGCCCAATCCCAATCGCTGGTAGTTGAGAATTTTCAAGAGATGGAAGAAGAAGAAACGCAAGTAGATGGAGGAAAGAAGATTCGGATACATGTTGGGGGATTGGGAGGGAGCGTGACGGAGGAGGATCTGCATCGGATGTTTGGTGCAGGAGGAAACGTGGAGGGAGTAGACATTGTCAGAACTAAAGGTCGAAGCTTTGCCTACGTCGACTTCCTGCCTTCCTCCGACAAGTCCCTCTCCAAGCTATTTACCACGGTATCTTTCTTTCTCTACTAATATTTCTATTTCGTTTGTCATTCATTTGTAATTATATTCGTTGTAACATCCCTAAATATATACAGTACAATGGGTGCTCGTGGAAGGGAGGGAAGCTGAGACTCCACAAGGCTAAAGAACATTATCTTGTTCGTTTGAAACGAGAATGGGCTGAAGAAGATGCTCAACTTCCGCCGGCAGATATTAAGCCCAGCAAACCTCTTCCTCCTTCGCAAGAATCACGGACCAAGCAGCTTCGGATTTTCTTTCCTGCAATGATGTCACAAGGGAAACTGCAAATAATTGGATTCTACACTTAGTGCATAGTTGGATTGCCCAATTAATCTTCATATATATATATTAATAGAAACTTTATAAATTCAAAAGAGAGAAACAAAGAAGAAAACAAAAGAAAGTTGATAAGGAATCCACAAGAGAAAACAAAAGAAAGCTGCAGCCTCAACACCAAAACAACAAAGGAAAGCAGGCCAAAAAAACAAACAAGAAGGCCAAACAGGAAAAGAGAAAAGAACAACACATCACTTCACAACCACTAACAAATCACGCATAATAGAAGAGACAGCCAAATCCTTAAAAACAGGAGTAACCAGTGCCCATAACGCCTCCCAAAACTTCACTCTATTAGTCTGTAGTGGATCTGGTTGTAGTCTGAAGAATAACATTTAGAGAAATTATGTGTAGTAGATTTTCTTTTCTGATAAGAAATTATGCGTAGTAGATTTTCTTTTCTGATAAGAAATTATCCCCTGAAAATAAAACATTAAGAATATATGATTCTTCTCTTTTGCTCTTTTGGACTCAGACTCAGATCATTCACCCAAGAAATTCAAACTTGAGTTATTGTGAATAATTTTCTTTAGTAAATCTGACCAATTAAAATAGAGAATAATTAATTATATCTGTAAAGCCACTGAATTGATTTATCTTTTAAGATCACAACATGCACATTCCTCTTACAACTTTCTCACTGTTATCAAATCTAAAATAAGTCTTTTAGATTAATAGGGCTTTTAAAAATAATGCCAAACAAACGAATGGCCAGAGGAAGGCGGAATGAAAATGTGAAACAATTTTTTTTTAAAGAAACATCAGTTTATTAAAGAAGAAAAGCTAATTACAAAGAGTGGATAAAAAAATAGGGGAAAGAATACCCTTTGTAACATAGTCCCAGTGACAGCAATTTTCTTAACCAAGCAACATCATATAAGCTACCAAATAATAATCTATTCCAAAGCCACATTTGCTAACTTGTGTTGTGTCCAACAAGATCTGTTTTGCTTTGCTTTGCAAATTTAAGGTAAGAAAGTCCTATTTAGTCAGTTCACACATTGACTTTAAAAGCAGCATACTTCCTGAAGCATCAATAACTACCATGGACAAATTGGTTTTACCACTTGTCATATCTGCCGAAACCATAGATTACACTGCAAAAACATTCAATATTTCATAAATTGGAGAGACAATGCCAGCAACTACAAAGATTTGTGGGTCTTCAGCCGTGTTTGACACAAAATGAAAGCTGCAGTGAACGAGTTAATCATTGTTCTTTATTGTGAGAGATTAGAATGCAGCTGTGTGTTAGTTTTGTTTAGGCTTTGGTTTCTGTTTTCTTCACGTGATTAGTTTTCTTGTTGTACTGCTGGAGTGGACTTCTTTCACATTCTGTGGTAATCAATAATATTTTCTTTTTACTAAAGAATAATAATAAAATTTGTCCAGAATAACTCATTTTTTATTTTAATAATCAGTAATATATTCAATATTTTATGTAGTTAATTTAGATACCAAGTCATCTAAATCAGTGAATAGAATCCACGTCTTTAATGGAGTTACTAAGAACATACTTTTTCCAATGACCGTAGCACGTAAGCTTCCAAAGTGGACTCTCATGCTCATTATCTTCAATAATTATACTTCTGCAAGACTCGGGATCTGTGCACCTTCAGATACACGAATTCACATGCGTTTAGACACATTACTTAGGTGTCACAAAGAAGATAAAAATGACAGTACAAAGGTAGTAGAGCTGAGAGACGCATAAATCTTCACTCGATAACTTACCTATGATTTGTTGCCTGAGGCTGCTTATCAGATTTCTGTGATGAAGGGGCAGCACTAGCAGTTTGGGAGGAGAAACGGGACCATTTGTTTTCAAAAGGCTGATCGAAAGCAGATCACCAACAGTAATAAGCATAATATGAAAAATCTTGAATAGCATCAAGTGATGCATGGAGAGCTTTCAGCTTGTTAACGGAAGAAAACTTCAAAGCCAACATCAGCAATAACCATAAGATAATAAAATTATTTAGCAGCATTAATTGATCCACAGAGAGCTCTCAGCTTGTTAACTTCAGAAAATTTTAAAGAACTCTTGTAACCTCATTCACAACAAGGAGCAAATGTTTCAGTTACAGCTTACAACTTACAAGAACAAAGATCGTTCATTTGAATGACAGCTACAGATCTAAGATGGGA